ATCCTATTGCTACTATGTGCCAGCTTCAGGATGAGGGAGCCCAGGCCTCTACACCTGAACTTGGGGCATGTTGGGGGGGGGGCAATGAAAAGCAAGGGCTTGACACCTTTCTGCTGGCCAGATGGTGCAGCTAAACTCTACAAGGAAGTTCTGGGTGCCAGAAGCTGGGCCTGCCGGATCCCCAGCAGCAAAAGAAGGCAGATGCTTGGTTCCGTGGGCCTCATCCTTGAAGACTCCTGCTCGCCTGACTTTTCCCTTGTATGTTCTTAGAGTGCACGTGTGGAGCTCAACCAACCTCTTTGGCACGCAGGAGGTCTGTTTTGCTAGCAGAAGCTGAAGGATACGCACCTTCATCTCTGTCCTGGAGACTGAGGGGTGTCTGAGGGGAAGGGTGGGGAGTTCTTGGTGGGCCCCCCGGTGAGCCCGCCCCCCACCCTCTGCTCTTGTCCCAGGGAAGGCCAGGCCAAAAGGAAGGAAGCTAGCCATACTGGGTCCAGCGGGTTGATCCTGCCCATCCGGGCTGCTGTAAGAAGGGCGTGGGTGAGATGGCTGCTGAACCGGACCGTTGGCAGTAGCTGCAAAAGAGCCGCACCCCAGCTCCTTTGATCTTCCGGGGTCCCTGTCCTCTGGCAGGGCACTGAGGGAAGTTGTGCGCTCGCAACCCTTCCCTCTGCCAGCAGTGTGCGTGAATGTGTGTGCGTGGGTGCAAAGGTAGGGGTCACGGGTCAGCGGAGGTTGCTGTGGTCTGGGTCAGTTTCAGGGCGAGGCCAGAGGGTGAGACTGTCCCACACAGGGGAAGGGGGCAAGGAGGGCCGGGGATTGCCCTCTCTCCTGGCCCAGGCCTTGCGAGGGGGGGAGGCTCGCCCTTTTCCTGGGAATGCCACCTGGGACGCTTGGCACCACCTGGGCCTCCTTCAGCCAAGAAAAGCCCCTCCTGTGCGCCGTTCCTGCTCAGCCACTGAGCCCAGCCCCAGGAAAACAAGATGTGTGCTACCACACGTGTGCGTCACAGGATCCGCAAGACAAAGGGAGAGGAACGGGGGGGGGGGGGTTGGGGCCGGGCTTCCCCAGAAGGAAGGGAAGGAGCCAGCTGTGCTTTAATCGGGTGCCAGCAGCAGCGCCCCACCTGGATCCCCGGAAGGGAGGCCGTCCCACGCTTGGGCTGCTGGAACCACAGCATGAGC